TCTAGGAAACCGCCGATCCCACCGTCACCGTCTGCGTTGAGCAGTACTTGTGACACGCGTAATACGTATCGTCACGCGCTCCCCTCGGCACGTGCTAATCGTCACGAACTGGAATCCGGCTGCCAGCTGGGTCGGACTCAGCTAATTGTTTCGGGCACGCTCGCAAGCAACACGACAACCCAAGTAACCCGCCACACTGAGGCTCACTGCAAGACAGTATTCAGAAGCCTTGGCTTTGTTGTCATGCTTGCTCAGATATGTCTTTGGCCTTAGTTGGTCGCCCTGGCCGTGGTACTTTTGGGATTATGCACAAGCCGAGTTTGTATGCATAATAATACGGGTATGAAGCCGCACGATATGGTTTATGTATGTACAGGAGATTGCTAAGTGCCGCGTAGCAAAGCTGTCACCAGATCCGCCACGGCGTTGTTTGGTCGGCAGCTGCATCATACTAGACAGACTTACTCCCCCTATATGAGCTCAGAAGACAACCGCGTCTCCTCCGCCGCATGCCACCCCAAATCATCATACATGTCCTCGCTCTCCTCAGCATGTAAGAACTCGCCCATGTTGCCCACCAGACTTGGCGGTATTCGGAAGTTCGGTGCCGAGAACTGAGACGCGTCATAACCCGACGTCGACTCCGCGGCGTTGCCGTCGCTCTGGTGCACCGCGTGGCGCAGGTTCAGGATAAAGCGTGAGATTAGGAGTGGCGGCTGTACATGACGGAGTATGTATCAATCATGTTTTTGATGGAGACAAAGGCCTACCATGACGTCCACGAGGGCGGCTATTGGGGACACGATCTGATAGTGCAGGTGAATATCAGTGTTATGTATTACATTCCTGATGTTGAGGACACACCCCAACACGCGTTAGAAGCTGTGCTATATTCAAGACGAGGAGGATGCTGCGTTGCTCGTTAATCGTCTCATTCCTGACTGGTCAAGTTTGTCCTCACAAGAAGTAAATGGTACCTAGCGAAGTCGATCCGATAAGCTCCCGTTCTCTTCAGCCGAACTGTGCAAGCTCACCATCTCTGAGGAGGCACGATACAATGCCCGCGGAGACATTCAGACGTCGAGCCGTTCTAAATGTACCCGCAGTCTTGATCCATGTCAAGATGAGGACGAGAATATCACTCGCGATGAGTGGTATGCGGGTAATATAAACCACTACGTGCCCCGGTGGGTTAGTGAGAGCATATAGAAAGCGACAGGTGAGCTTACAGCTAGAGTAAAATGTGGCACCTCAGCATGAGGTTCGAAATACCGATGCGAAAGCAATTGAACTCACACAGTATAAGCGCCATCGGAGATGTTGATCGTCTGTGAGCAGATAGCGAAAGGTGAAGGAAGGAAGGGATAACTCGATTTGGACAAGGTGTACTGCGGAGCCGTTGAGGTTTTAGAGAATGGACGCTTATAAAGACACATACAATATTGGTGGCTAGTGGCGCCAGCCCAAGTGCGAGGATAACGACGAAGAGCACAACACTTCGACCCCAGATCGCAGAGACACGGAGGGAAGAAAAAACTGAATACACTTTTAGCTGCAATACCGGGATAACTCAGAGTGGAAGTTTTCCTACGGGCTACTTGGATCGATCCCAGCTGTACACAAACCTGCATCAAGATGAGGATGGGCTTGCAGCTGAGTATACATATGGTCAGCGCGACGGGTACCTCGAAGCATAAATTACGCCGCATACTTCTGCATGATGGGGACGGTCATGAAACTGTAGACCCAAGACAGAGAGCTGGACTTACATCCGCAGTAGCCGGAATCAGCTGCAAGATTGTCTCGATGAGAATGGCCCATCTTGTCGACACGAGCAGTAACGACACCGGCGAGAACTTCTGCAGCCACACAGAGCTGATCTCATCCGTAATAGTGATCATGTACTCGTAGCATACGAGTGCTATGACGCGGCTGTCAGTAGCGGGGACAGATCTGGGTGAGTGTAGATCACATACCTGCTGCTCCAGTCTGTACATACTCGGAGGTGACACTAAGTGAAAGCATCAGGGCGCTCTGACTAAGACAGGTCATGAAAAAAATACAGACAATTGCGATATGACGGAGGGGTCCAATGCATCTGAAGACGACATGGTCGGGAGCAACGTCGTCCTAAACTTCGCAGGGGTAGTTTACATACTTCCCCAGGCGGTCCACCCTGGGAAACGTGACTAATTGGAATACCCGGAGAACGACTTTTCAAGACTAGAGCGTGAAATACAAGGCGTTAGCATGCGATCTTCAATGCAAAAGATCTGCAAACTGAAACATTGCTCCGTGATGTACGTGATAGGCGCAACTCGGGCGGAGCGCTGGTTCCGGGCCATTGCTACGCGCCGATGCCCGCGTGGTCAAGGCACACCCGTGCGTACGATGCTGTGCTCCCCATTATCGCAGCTGTCAAGTAAAGGAGAAAGAAGCCTCCATGGGGCTTCGACCTGCTGCCGCGTCAGCGATAACACCCCTATCAAGTCTTCATGTCGACACTCCGACGCGGGTCGGCAGCGGAGACTTGTTTCGGAATGTTGAGTCACCGAACGAGCAGAGAAAGGTTGGCTGGCTGGCTTTGCTAAAGTACGGAGAAATAATAGGTAGGTGCCGTAACAGCAAGTATCAGCTCTCATTTAATTGCGCTTTTTTTCGGCATGCGAGAATCAGCGCGGCCATAGAAACAGTGCAGTGTATGCAGATGCATCGTTTTGCCCATCTGCAGCGTATCTGCAGCTATTTCACTACGAGATCACTTCAAGGGACGTACTTTATAGTTTTTAACCGTGGAAAGACGTCTGTGGGGAGCGAATTTTTCGATTGTTGGAAGTTAGAACGAGAACTTGAACATTTACGTCAGCAGCCTGGGTGGGATAGGGAATTGTCGCTGATCAGTATCCATTTCGGCTATGTCTCAGAATGCATTTACAGGAGCCGTAAATGCGAAGAAATCTTGTAATTATAGCCAGATATGGATATAATGTGCTGGCGAAGAACATGTTGAGGGAGGACTGAGACCAGCACAGGGCCCCTCGTCTTTGTGGCGTCCGGCACAAGCCGAGTGATAGATATCGCAGACGCTGGGGACAGGATTACTTCCTTGAGTCACAGCTACCATCTCTGAGCCCCTTGTGATAATGGTTTCACGTATCTCATCTGTCCTTGCGGGCTCACTCAATATTTACCTCCACACAGGAGATAACCAAGTGCAACAAACCTCGTAGTATCGACGTATTTTTTTTGCGGTTTAAATTCTGAGAGACGAGTGCATAGGAGGTGTTGCGGCGAGACAGTCGACCGTGACT